CCTTTTCACATGTCAACAATTGCAATTGGTCACACAACACCGAATTTGCAAATGAGTCTTTGCACTTCACACATTTTCCATTTTCTAAGAAAAACGTCTCATTACATTTTGTGCAAGATTTCTTTGTTGCTGTACATTCGAGACATCCATCAATTTCGTTGCATTTATGACACTCATCATTGTCCAAATAGTGTCCATAAATGCACTGTCTGCACTCCCCATACAACGTACACAACACACACTTTGGTATTGAAGTGCACTTTTCACAAGTTTTTGGTGTTTTAAAATATGCATTTTGGGAACACAAAATGCATTTCATTGGAATTTTGTTGTCACAGTTCTGGCAATTTGGAATATCATCACATGGAATACACGCAGAATAGTCTGCGCTTTGTGTGTAATTTGTCAAACACTCAACACATCCTATGGCATCACATTTCTTACAATTTGAGATATCACATTTTGCACACATAAAGTCGGAGTTCAAATAATGCAAATCGTCACATTTAGTGCACTGATTTGAAAGACTTTCCACGCAACCTTCCACAACATCCCCACATGGCGCACATTCCCCAGATGATACCAAGAAATTTCTTTCGCATTTGACACAGCTCTCACCAACACCACTAACGCAATGTGATATTTCTTGGCATGTGTAATTGGACAACTTATACCCATCAAGGCACTTTGTGCACTTTCGTGAAGATATATCATTTTCAAGATAGTTGACACATTGATCACACCCACTAATTTCAGAACAAATCTTACAAACAGCTTCCGGGAAATACCCAATTGAACAAACATCACAGTAAACTTCTTTGTAATTTGAGTAATTCAAAAGTCCGCATTTTATGCAATTTGTAAGTATTTCATCACATTTGAGACACTGTAGGTCTTTTAAGTAATATTCGTCCAAACACAAAACACAATTCGAATCAGATACTTCTTTGCAATGAAACTCCTCTTTTGTGAAATAATTTCCTTCGAAGTTGACAAGGTCTTCTGTTGTATTTTGTTGTGTTTTGACACACCTTTTACCTATCAAAACATAATCCGATTCACACGCCACACAGGCACTCGTCTTGGGTTCAATGGAAATACAATTTTCATCAATTTGGCAAATACCCTCAATCAAAACTTCGTTTGGAGATAAACAGTTGAAACAAAGTCCGTTCGTTTTGTTCGAGCACCCATTGCTTCCACACGTTTCACAAGTCACACATTCGAAATCTTCTATCCAAAATCCCGGTTTGCACTTTTCACACTTTTTGTTTCGGTTTTCATCAATAAAGCATGAAACACATTTGCCGTTATCGGGTTTACACACAGAACACAACCCACTTTCGTCAATGTATTTATTGCTTTCACACGTTATACACAATGTTGAATTGCATGTTGTGCAACCACGCGTTGAACAGTCTGTACATGTTCCAAAGGCTTCTGTCATTTCTTCTGACGTGGTATTAACGAGATAATACCCCTCCACGCACGACACACATTTTGTTTGAGATAAACAATCGGTGCAAGTTGCACTGCACTTTTTACAACTTTTACCATCTTTGTAATATCCTTTCATGTTACACAACGAACACGTCTTGTCATCTTCCTTATAATAATATCCATCAAAACATTTGGAACATGTTGATTCGGAGTGGCAAACATCACAATTTGATTCACAACCATTACATTTGTAATTCGACAAATAAAAGTGGTCCATACATTCCAAACACCTTGTCTCATCACACTTTGAACAATTGTCATAAATATCACCACAGCTAAGGCATTTCCCATCACGTAAAAAGAGTCCAGTTTTGCATTTATAACAATCCGTTTCATCACACACTTCACAATTTGGATGTTTTGTTTCACATGTTGAACAGAGACCATTGTCCAAATAAAAACCATTTTGACAAGAATAGCATGTTGTTGCGTTGCATCTTTCACATGAAGCAAATTTAGAAGAGCATAATTTACAAATTCCATTTTCTATAAACGAGTTTTTATCACAGACAGAACACTTTGATACGTCACAAGATATGCAATTATCAAATTTGGAATTACACGGTTTACAAACATTACTTTCGAGATAAAACCCATTCTCACATTCAAGACAACTTGATCCATCGCAAAGAATGCAGTTTGTGTACTTCGATTTGCATTCTTTGCAAACAGTCTGGTCGACAAAAAACCCGTTTAAGCATGCATTACACTGTAATGAAGTACATGTTATACAATTGTGGAACGTTTCATTGCATCTGACACACCCATTTCCGTTTAAGTAATACATATTTTTACAAAGTGAACATTTGGTTTCGTCACATTTTTCACAACCCTGATATTTGGTTAAGCATTTATTACATTGGCCTTTATCAACAAAATATCCAAGAGCACATTCTTGACATTGAGTTTTATTACACGAGTTGCAATTGGAATAAACTTCTGAACACAATTGGCACTTCGAATTTATATCAAAAGCATTTGGTGAACATTTGGTACATTTTTCAGTTGTACATTCCATGCAATTTGGAAACGACTCTTCACAATTTACACACATTCCATCTTTTAAATAATAATTTCCATTGCATCCCAAACAAGATGTTGGGTTACACGAACCACAGTTTGAATCATATTTAGTACATGAATTACAAGTGCTCATACCCTCAAGATAAAACCCAACTTCACAATTTCCACAATGATCTTCTACACACACCGAGCAATGGGAAAATACGTTCTTACAAAGTTCACAAGTACCACCAATAAGAGAATAGTCACTTGTACAATGAGAGCATCCGTTTTCATCACAATCTGTACATCCTTCTGAACAAGATACACACTGTCCACCAGAGAAATAAAAACCTCTTTTGCATCTGTTACAAACAAATTGGTCACACAACTCACATCCATTCTGACATTCCATGCAATTTCCGTTATCAACAAAAAAGCCATCTGAACAAGTCAGACATTGTGTAAAGTTACAATTCACACAGTTTGTATGTTTTGTATCACAACTGTTACATTGCCCTTCATTTACAAAATATCCTCCAACACAATCACTACAATGAGTGTTGTTACACAATGCACAATTGGTGTATTTTGTTGAACATTCTGTACAAACAGTATTCTCAAGGAAATAACCGTTATTGCATAAGGTACAATGAGTTGGGTCACAAGTTGAACATAATGGAAAATCTTCAAAACAATTGACACATTTCCCATTTTTAAAAAATGAATACTCGTTACATTCAATACACTCAATTTCATTACACAAATTACAATTTGGATAAATATTGGAACACCTTTTACAAGTGCCATCTTGATCCAAATGATAACCTTCTTGACACGTCTTACATTGTCCGTTATCACATTCGAGACAATTGGGGAAGAATGTTTGGCAATCAAGACAAGTTCCATCATTCAAATAAAAATTCTTTTCACATTCCTTGCATGAATTTTTTATACAATTCTTACACCCTACAGAACATTCAATACATTTCCCTTTCTCATAGTAAAAACCTTGATCACATTCGATACACATATTTTCTGAACATTTTTTACAATTTTCTTGACATGTTGTGCATTTTCCAGCTTCAAGACGAAAACCATCATTACATTCAAAACATTTTGTTTTATCACAGAACCCACAATTGGAATCATGTGTTGTGCAACTGTAACAAAAAGTTCCATCCATAAACATACCATTTGGACACGATCTAACGAAGTCACAACCGAGATTTAAAACGAAGTAACATCCATTGATTTCAATGCAATTATCTCCTGAACATGGGACAGTTTTGCATGGGTTTTGAATGTAAAAGACTTGATTTCCTTGTTTAACAAATGAGTTGTTGTTTGTGTGAAATTCCTTTTTAACACAAAAAAGTTCGTTTTCTATTAATGCTTCAGTTGTATATTCAATGGAATCTATTGACGCACCCATTTCAAAATACACATTCCCTTTTATAAATATTAATTTGTCGATTTTAACATAAACATTAAATACCAAATCAACTGGTGTGATAGTCAAAATCTTAAAATGCAGTGAATCTAAAGTTGAGTGAAGTACAAGCTCTTGGCGTTCGCTATAATTGATTGTTGCCCAACCCACTTGTTTAAATCGATAATCGGTGAACCCAACAAGATTTAAGTCGAAGAATGTGCTATTGTGTTTACAATCTGGATAATCAAATTCATCAAAAGGTTTTAAAGAATCGGGTTCGCAATGACAATTATACGACGGACCATATGATGTTCCTGTTTTAGAAACAAGTTTCATTCTTGAAAAGTTTCCACTTGTGCAGACTGACTTAATTTCATGTGTAGAGTCAGATGAATATAAATTAACATGTTCATTCATAAGGATTCCAGAAAGTAAATACATTGAAGGAGAAGTATCAACTGCTCGATTAAAAGATGATAAATTTATTGATACTGTTTGTTGCACTTCTCCATCGATATAAACGAGTGGAATTTTATTTTGGTCTTGATCTCTTGAAATTGTTATAATCCACTGTTCATCTATTTTTGAATGTAATACAACTCCTTTGTTTTTAACAATAACTTCAGTTCTTAATGTTTGTGTTTGTCTGCACCCAGTGCTTCCATCAAAACACCCAAAAGTGATGACAAGTCCATCTGGTCGATCGTCTTCATAAATAGTCATTTTCTCTTGTCGGGGTCGAGTCATAAAAAATATGTGTTTCATGTTAATGATTCCTGAAAATTTCCAGTCTCGACTTACTGATGGATTAATAGTTAAATCTGTATCATTGTAGCCCTTTTCTAGGTTTGTACAACAATTAGAATTAAAAGTAAAAACGTCTCTCGGTTCATAATTTATTGTCCATTCGTCTGATGAGCCATAATAATTTAATCCTATTACATTGTTTAATTCTCCCCAACCAAAGATTTTTGTTGCAAATAAACATAAGAGTATTAATTGCATTGTGTAAATATTAAGTTTTTAAATATGATTAAATACACGTTTAAGGCTAAACCGTTTATTCTAAATATAACAATACCTTTGGTTGAATGTTTTTCTGTCTACTTTATTATGAAACAATTTGATGGAATGAAGATGCAGATATTAATCCAAAAAACCCAAAACACCACTCTATCATACCAGCGGTTTTGTAAATTTAAATAAAAATGTTTTATGTTTGATATAAATATTGTTTGACTTTATTCTTTAAAGAATCTATTGCAACATTTAGAAACTGTTTGTTTTAATAACCCCTAAAATTCTTTGTTTTTATATGTGGTTGAGTATGTTAAAATGCCACTTAACTGTCACCACGTTTCACTCAACCGCCAAGTAAATTTTGATTAATATTTCTAAAAATACATTTATTTTTTTTAAAGTTTTTTTTGTGATTAAAATGCCATTCAAAAAAATGTAAAAAATTCAAAAATCAATAAAAAATATACACAACAACGATCTAAAAATAGTATTTTAAATTATTCAAAAAAAAATGTTAAGGTTTTTTTCTAGCGTATCCTTGCATTGAAACATGTGGTTATTACGTCGCAATCGTACACAAAATCCTTGCAAAAATCCAGTTCATTAAAAAGTGGCAACCCACAAGATTGCAAAGCGATACTAGAACGCAACTAAATACAATGAACGAAAACACTATGATGTTCCTTGAGCTTTCAAGCAAAATGGAAATTTATTAACAATGCATTCGACTATTATATACTTACTTATTATGGCTTGTGATGAGTATCTCTTCCTAACCTTATTACCTTTTTATAATTGGTTTTATCAACGAACCCTTATTAACAATGATTTATACTTTTTCTTTATTTTACTTTTTAATATAGGGTTGTCTACTTTTTACAAACCAAATTAGATTCGTTTACCAAGATAATTCGAAACTATATAATGTATTAACAATTTATTACCTATAAGATTAATATAACATTTAACCAAATATTTGAGAAAGGTAAACATTAGGCGAACTTTGAACTTTTTTGCAAAAGATTAATTATAATTGTAAATATATTTGAATAAAAAAAATCGCAGTCAAAGGCGATTATTTGTCGTAATAATAATTGTCACACTACTGGCCAATCATTTGGGTGTACGACAATTCAATATTTTATTCTCAAATCTGTAACTTTAAATGAATTGAAAATAAAATTTTTCAAAAAATAACTCAAAAAAGTAAAACCTCTCATTAGTGTACCCCATTAAGAGAATCCCTTCATTAAGAAACGTTTCAACCAATCGAAATAAAAAACACTTATTGGGGGAAAGGAAAAAACAATTTCATAACTACTATTGAGGGGTATTATTTTTCCGTTTAATCTACTAATTAATTTTTTCTTTTACTGTAAAAATAAAAAATGGGTGTGTTTAGTTTATAATCATAATGGTAATATTATATTCTAATTATTTTCTATATCAACAAGTATTAGACACTCATTTTGATTTTTTTGTAACCAGTTATATATAATTTATTGTGTGTTTTTGACTATAAATAAATAGAATCAGCCCAAGAAATATGATGAATATTAAAAAGTTAACTTTATAATTGTTATTAAATGTTATTGTTATAAAGACATTTTCAATATCAAAACAACAAGATATTAAAAACACAATTAAACAAAAACCCCAATAATAATAAAGTAATAAATTACGCAAAGCATCTCAACACGTAAATAATCAGTAGTTCTCTTTGTTATTTCTAATTTGTCCTGCGTAATATTTTGTTTCTTGACCATCATCATCTTCTTCTGCCTTTTGCAAGTCACTCAAGCACTTCTTTTGTGGGCAATCCCATTGTTTATGGCCGTATCCTTTGCATATGAAACACTCGACGTTTTTAAATTTATCGTTGCAGTTATTTGCAGTGTGTCCGAGCTTGTTGCATATTTTGCACTGTTTAATAGCGCTTCCGTTCTTATTTTTTCCCACAATATGCAATTTCTCTCCTTTCAGTTCTTTTCCTTCCCATTCAAATTTGAGTTTATCGATCATTTCAATATCCTTCATCACAACAGAAATATTGTTCGACTTCATTTCTCCCTTTTTCTTCGTCATTTGTGTGACTTTGATGGGGTTAAATTCACTGAGGTACTTTTTCACCTCATCTTCAGTGACTTTGAGCCCCGGATATGAAAAGTGCACATTTTTGAGATTTTTGAGGTCCTTCCGTACATTCACCGTTTTTTTGCGCCATATCTTTTTGTCCTTTTTGGCAATTAGGTCCATAACAGCTTCTTCGTTGTCAAATAGAACATCGCAATAGCTTAGATTAGTGTCTTCGGCATATCGAGGAATGTCGACACTAATTGGTTGATATGGTTTCAAAAACTCGTGTATCTCGTCGTCTGTTAAAGACGGGTGTATCCCCACTATTGTCGTTTTAATACCTTTTGACATGTTTTGTTTATTTTTTATGGTGTTGTGTGGTTTTAATTATAGGGTTATGTTAGGGTTTGTGTATTTATTGACAGTTGATTAAATAATTATCAGAGACCAAATAATTGTAAGAAGGATATATATATATCCCGTTAATTACCTTGAAAATAACTAATTAAAAAATTCATAGAAGGAGACACCAAAAAAATGCTGAGAAACCCATTTCTATTTTTAAAATAGTTCTATATTGATATTTTTAACTATTTATTTTACTTTAAACATTTATTTGGGCTTTGACCATTTTTTGGTAAATTGTAAATATTTTTAATAATATGATACAGATACTCGAAAAACAGCCCGGCACACAAAAAAGGACAGGCAAACCATTAATTTATAGTATATTATAGTTTTTTGTACTGTTTTTTTTTTAATTTTGGATTGAAAAAACCATTAAATAGTTTTTAGAAACCATTTTTATAGTTTGCCGGTAGTTTTTTCTACAAATACCAACTATTTTAAAGGTATTTGTAACACAGTTGGAGAAAAAAATTTGGCTTGATAAGAATAAAAAATAATTATAATAAAAAATTATTTTATTTTAGTTTCAAAGTTTTTTTCATACAATTTTTTGGTATGTCAAAAAAAATTGTTTTTTGTAAAAAATAAATGTTTTTTCATCTTTTAGTTAAATTGATTTCATTTACTATTTTTTATTATTTAGCCGGACTTTTTTCTTCCAACTCTGAAGGGATTATAAAAATCTGTCAAATTGTTTTGAACCTTTCAAACTTCAAAGAAATTAATTACTACGTCAGCACGAACAAGTAAGATATAAAATTGGAAAAAAAGAAGTGTTTTATAACAAAAACAAAAACAAAATATAAAAGTAAAAACTATAAAAAAACATTTGTTTATAACTGTTCAAAACATGATCATAACAAGTCGCGTCTTGTGTAAAACCATAAGAAGTGACATAGAAGAACAAGTTTTAAGAACGCGTTCGTGGAGTTGGCTTACAAATGTTATCCAAAAATGTCGTTTCTAAATAAAAATATATTTTTTTGTGATTTTGACAAATTAATTGACGATTTGAAAAGTTTTAGATAATTACAGGGGTTTCGTACCAACCCGTAACAAGTCACTATTCGTTTTTTTATTTTCAACCTTTTATAAGTCGTTATTTAATTGGTTAAAACCACTAATATTAATGTATATTTAAAAATAAAGTTTATGGAAAATGATCATAAACAAGCTTTCATAACTCGTATAACAAATTAGTTGTTATTATTTCTTTTGTTTTCACACATAAAGTGAGTTATTATGTACTTGAATTAATTATTAATTCAACTTTAGTTTTTATTGTCGTTATTAACTCATTATTATATTATATCATAATTGTTTTAGATAATGTTGAAATTGATTTAATTTGGATATCGAAAAATAAAAACAATTTGATAAAGTTTTGACATACTTGTTGTAAGTTATATATTGATTTCCTTTGCAAATTCCAAAAAACAAATTATATTTTACTGTTTAATATTATATAGGATTTATTTGTTACAGTGTGATAGAATTTATCCAATATTATTATTAATGTCTGTCCATTAACCTTTTTTATTTTTTAAAGTCGTTTTAAATGAAAATGTTCCTAACTTAAAGGGAAAAGATAAAACCAAATAGAATATAATTAATATAACTATTCAGAAACTATATAACCAATAACACAATCAATAACACAAATAAGGTTAAAAACCATTTGACCAATCATTTTCAAACATCTGAAAGTGAACAATACATTCGATTGGTAAAATTTTTGAACAAAATAACAAGAAAATGTTGCTAACAAACATGTTATTTGCATCCTTAACTTGAAGAATTTTGCTATAAGACATTTATTCTTTGCAACATTTTAAATACAATCTTTTGTTCATTGTTGAATTCCTTTGTTGTGTCTATCACATTGAACAATAAAGTTCGCCCAACTGTTGTTTGCAACAACATTTTTTGTTTATACGCTCAATGTTGATATAATAAAATAAATTGATCAATCTGTCTAAGTTTGTTTTGATTGAAAAACCCAAAATTTATAATAAAATAATAAATTAAAAATATAACTAAATAACAAAATATTTTGTCAATAAATACGGTTGATGGAATAATAAAAAACAAGGCTCCAACTTGTTAATAAGATAATATGATACAAATTCAATTACAACTCACCAAATCTATAATTATCTGTTTCTCACTCCTCAAAGAAGTCGTCTTTGTCAAATATTACTTTGCTGCCATTCAGGTCTTTATGTTTTTAACAATTGTTTTAATAATATATTAAATGGAATATAAATACAGTCAACCTTTTTCAAAAAGGGGAGTATTGTAATTTTGTTCTCTCAAGAGTGGGCATTTTTATCCTATTAAACATTAAGACTTGCTTGATAAAGAACTGTTTTTTAATTTTGGTCTGAAAAATGCTCTTTCTTGTTGTAAAACAAAAAATACACTCTTCTTTTTAAAGTTTGATTGTGTTATGCTTATTGATGTTTCAATTAAAAGTTGTGATATACATATCACATTTTACAAACACTTGATTATATACACAATAATAAAAGTTTATTTGTATTAATAGATTAACTTGGTTTTAATCAACTATCAAATAATTTATCTATTTTACAATACACCTTTTATAAAAAATAAAATGTTGTTTTTTCTCCTGTAAGTTTTATCAAAACAAATTTAAACACAAAATAAAAAAGTCCAATAAAAATGAATCACACCCCCAATATAACCACCAAAAATAATAGAGTAAACACCTTTGAAATTCCACTCCTCAAATTATCATTTGGTTCTGTGATACATCTACCAGCTGTTGTACACACAAAGCCCTCTCTACACACTCCACACGCCGGTCGACAGTGTTCACTCCATATGCTGGTTCCTTGTGGATATGAATCGTTTGTGATTTGACATTCTGTTCCATAACAATCAAAAGAAGTAGAGTCGCAGATGTACTGATTGGTTGCAAGACTTGATCTGAACAAAGTGGTATTTTGTAATCTCACGTATGATCCTTTAGCAACAAAAAACTTGATTGAACCTCCATTTGAAAATTGTTTTCTATTTGGTTTGAAATAAGCTGTGATCGACACCTTTTTGTCTGTTTTGTAATATTTTGTTTTCAGGTCTTTATCAATAAACACAAAAGATGTATTTGTGAATCCATTATAATCTGTTTGATACACCAAGTCTGCCAGAATCAATTCAAAGTCTGTTGTGTCTTCCATTTCTATATCAAATTGCACATGAGTGAAGTCTTGGTCGAGCATCATTTCAGTGATATAGACATATCCAATCGAGATAAATCCTTTGCCATTGACTATATCAGTTGGCTCAAAGATCATTCCATTTGGAGTCTTCTCCATTTCAACGAGGTTGGTGGCATAATCAGGCTGTAAAATGTGCCACTTAAAGAAGTAGACAGATTCGTTTTTCTCATCCGGGGAGTACACGTCATTGTTGACAACATAATAGCAGTTCCCGCCTTTATCTGCTGGGAATCTTGAGTCAAATTCAAATGAATCTGCTTGGTTTAAATTGATATTTTTAATCTCAAGTCTGTTATTATAGAAAGAAAAGACTCTTACAGTGTAATTGCCTTCATAATTTGGAACTTCAAATTTTCCATCTTCATTGGCATAAAAGTATTCGTCTATTGTTTTTGAATAGATTCTGATTTGGTACATAATTTGGTTGCAATTGATGATTTCGATGATATTGTTATTTTGTTTTCTTTCAACAACCACAAGAGTTGGATTCATACCCAAATCCGGGTATACATATTTAAAAGTAAACTGACAGGCATAACTGTTTTTACCAATGATTTTTGGAGAGAGTTGGTTGTATATTCTGGAGTTGACAGATATGTATCTCCCATCTAATGTTTCAGTCACACCTTCTTTAAACACATTCATATAACCGGCGATCATACAATAAACCTGTTTTTGATAGGCTCCAACTATCTGTAAATACTCTCCACACCGATTAAAAGTGTGATTGTCTTTTGTTAGGTACATAAAATTTTCATTGACGTAACACAAAGCTTGGTTGTTAATGCCTTGAACTTTAATTGGATTGGGTAGATCCAAATAACAGTCAAACTGTTTGATAACTGGTGTTTGGTCATTTTCATAATTGAAGGCAAGGAAGTCGTTCATGCATATTGATTTCTCTTCAATTGAAATAACAGAAACAATGAATAATAACACTGTCATCTGTTAAAGACAGTTTGTGGGGATTTAAATTGAGTAAAATCAGTATGTTAAAATTGAATAACTGAAAAATGGGTGTTTTAATTTCAAATCTGAGAACAGTAATAAATATAACAAAAAGCCAATATAACTTTTCAATGTTTTCAGTATTTATTAACTGTTTAAATGATACTAAACAAAAAATTAATGGTCTAAAAATCAGGAATTCAAAAAATTAATTAAAAAATTTATTTTTAAATTATTATATTGTGTATTTTATCAAACAACTTCAAAATATTTAACAGCAAAATTGTTTTTATATCACTTTGAATATTGGTTAAATAATAACATGGTACTTATAAAAGTGTTAATGAACATACTTGAATAATAATCTCAAAATAGTAAACCATAAATTATTTGATTATAAACTTAAAAATCATTATTTTATATATAAATATATTGAATTCAAACAGAAATTATAGTGATAAATAAGTCGCAGTTATTAAATTTGGGTTTAGACAATTACAGTTTGGTGATTCTGCTATATGTAAAACTTTGCCTTATGCAACACCTATATTAATTAATTTTATTTTATAAAAACCATTTAAATAAATAAAAACTGAAATAGATTTTGGTCTTTTTGTTAAGTAATCATCAAACTATATTACAATTCATTTTAATTATAAATTAACTATGATAGTCTTGCATAATGTAAAGTTACACATAAGGCAGAGTGGCGATACTGAAATATAGAAATGTTAATTATCGTTTAAAATATGTATATATTATGGGTTTTATGAAAAACAATTTTTGAAATGAATTATTTAATCATTGAATTCAATAATTCAATATTTTATAAAAAAAAATAAAAATAATCAGTATTGCATATTAAAAGTTAATAGAACAACGACTCATGATATTAAAACACCAAAAATGAAAACAATATATGTTGTTAGAATGTTTTTAATATATATAAATATGAAGATTTATAATATGAACAATCACTAAAGTTTTTAGGAAGGCTAAAATAAGAATGTCTTAAAAAAATTAAGTCCCAAGTTTAGAAAAGGTCAAAAAATAAAATAATTGATGTTTTTGTTTTTGGCTTAATTTAAAATTATCAATGAAAATTTATGATAAAGTGGTAAACAATTGATTAACCTTACAAAGTGAAAACTGGATAAATTATCATTGTTTTTTACTTATAACAATTCAGTTTTTTCTTTGAATTAAAAAGAACTTTAATTAAGAACGATGTCCTACAAATCAATTTAAATACTTTAAAAACAATAAATTCCAAACGCTTCAATAAAAACTTTTGTGTGTGTCTTGTTACAGAATGTGTACAGTAGAAATTCTATCGGTGTGTGATTCCAACCGTGTGTGACTCTATCGGTGTGTGGTTTTGGCCAATCAAAAGTGGTCTACACACCGATGAAATATAACGATTTCCCACATATTTGGCACAAAAACCCGCAAAAATAATGTCAATTGCAAATTTGTTTTTATTTTAAAAGAGTAAAGACTTGGTAATAAAAACTTAAAAAGAGAAAAATTATCAAACAAAAATAAATTCAAAAAAGATAAGAAAAGAAAAGCAGAAAATGCTCCTCTCAAAATATTAAACTTTAAATGATAATAAAAAATGCACCGACTTTTACACCAATCACAAGAGCACGCTTGTGATTGGTGTGATGACAGAATTGATACCACAAAAACTTATTAATTTCAGCAAGGAAGTCACAGATATTTACGACACATGCAGACAACCAGCCAGGCGTGCTCATCTAAGTCTTTGAGGGCGAGGCATCGATGACATCACATTGCAACCTGCTTGGAAAGTTTGGGTTGTTTGGTATCTTATTAGCACCATGTGGAGTCTCACAGTTGAAGTCACATTCGACACAAATGCAAATGGGATTCTGAATGTGTCGGCTGAAAACGAGACAACAGGGAAGAAGACTCTCAAAGGAACAGGTGGACAAGATGGTTGCAGACGCAAAGAAGTTCAAGGCAAAGGACGACAAGATGATGACTTTTAAGGCTAAAAATCGACACTCACCTTATGCTACCGTGTAATAACACAGTGAACAAGCAAATTTTTTCAAGGTTATAACAAAAGACAATGCAGCAATCGAGGCTGATGTCAAAGACGTACTTGAGTTGTAAATTGACAAATACCAATCCGCACCAAAAGTCCACAATGCGTTGTTCTTATTCTAAACAATTAAACGATTTAAAAAAATTCACAATAATATTTTATGTTTACACGTGTCGCGTTTTTTTTCTCAAAAAAAACAAAAAATATATTTTGTCATTTTTCTTGATTGTGAATTGTTTTGCAAATTTGATTATTTTTTAGTTTTTTTGCCAGAAATTAAAAAAGAAAAGAAAAAAAATTACACACCTTGGGAAAACCATTTTCATGACTCCACACACCGACAGAATTTTTACTGTATATTATTTTGCAAACATGGAAATTGTAAACATTAATTTGTAAAGATTATTAGGTTGTGCAAAAATTACAGGTGGAGGAAAAACCGGGGACCAAATCATAAACTAGGGATCAGACTAAATTAAGCCGTTTTATTTTTGTTATAAAGTTTCCTTGTCTGAGAATAATAAACAAATAATCGGGGTTTTGGAGGATAAATTGGTTTATTTTTTTAAAACCAGGGACCAACTATTAATAAACACACCGTTTCTTAATAAAATATATAAAACTATAAAATATGAAACTCTTAATTAATCATTTGAAGCTGCCTCTATTGTTAATGCCCAGCCGAGCCAAAGAAAAGTTTGTTTATTATATTGATTTATCTTCCGTTGTTTAATACGTTTAATAATCATCAATCATTTACTGAATGCCTTATGTTTTTATAATTTATTTATTTTCTTTATTTTCATGAACGGCATTAGTCACTTTTAATGATAACCGAAAAGTGACTTATTGAATCAACCGAATAAAAAGACAAGAATATATTGGTATCTTTGATAAAATGAATGAACGATTTAATTGAATGGTTGTGTTGAAGTTGTAGTTTAACAAAAGAATAATATTTAAAAATTTAATAATAATTAATAATAATAAACTTACTATTATAACTCATATTAAGCTGTTGTTCATTCATACTTTAAACAACACATTCATTTTTATTTTCATCCCGAAAAATAACCGTTTTTAATACCAAATAATAAATACATTACACATTTATTTATATATTTGCCCGTTTTATTGTATAAAATCCGCTTAATATTCAATAGCTAAAATTAGTCTGGTACCTAGTTTTTCTGGTGGTCCCTGTTAATTCCTCTATATGTACAATTGATATAGATATATAATTAATATATGCTACATTTCCATCGTTAAAATCGGTTAAACTATTTATAATTTTTAGTATGTAAACATGTAACATAAAATTTAAAATGTTATAAAATTTAAAAGAATTTTGTATGTAATTTTTTAATATAAATGAAAAGTGTATTTATTTCGTTGAATTGACAATAATAATTGACTTCAAAAAACAGAGTGTATTCATTAATGTTAATCATTTGAATTAAAATCTTAAACGACTTGCTAATTGATTTTATATCTTATATATCTAAAAACAACAAACCAAAAACCAAAAAAGTTGTATATTGTGATATTTTTTATTAGTATGATGATTTTATTCAATTATTTATTATTACATGTCTACACAATATAAAGATATCAAATTATAATTTTTGAACTTTTTTTAAACCAAAGTGTTTTGATTAACTATAATAAATAATATACAAATTATTATTATTTAAATGTTTAAAATTAATAATCAATAAATGTCGCCTTTTAAACTAATCATAATGTTATGGTATAATCGAAATGTTTATGTTTAATTTTTAATTGATAACAATTAAATCAATTTTAAAAACTGTTATTTGGCATCTCACTTACATCTAATTATCAACAAAAAGTTGTTGAATATAAATTGTCTATCTTAATGTATTTTCACAACGAAATTTTTAATAGTTATTTGAATATATATTTTAATGGTTTCAACAAAATGTTACATTAATAACACAAAAATTAGAATCATTAATCTTAAAATTTAACATGATAAATAACAAAATTCAAATATAAAAAAATACTACAATCACATTTGTATTTACCATGATGTATGTTTGTTATTAATTTATTACAACTTTATAAAAAATTGAATTAAGTGGCACTTTGAAAAACAATTTTGTTAATTTAATAAAAATATAAACGCCATTAAAAATTGAGCTGGCTTGAAAGAATTAAAAATCTTAAAAGTCGAAAAAAACTTGAAAGTCATATAAATAATAAAAATTAAATATTAAAAATTATACTTTAATTCCAATTGTTTCACAATATAATAACAATTGGGTTACAACGTTATTTGGTAGCGTTTAAAATGAAGATTTGACAAAGAAAACAGCATTGCTTAACAATTTAAATTATTTCCACATTTATAAACAAATCCGATTTAAAAACAATTTAATTATAATTGAGTTGATAAAACAATATTGGAAAACTATTAAATAAAAAAGTTAAACAATGGAGTTTTGACTGAATAAGTATGAATATAATTATTTTTAGACCATTTGAATGTTTTTTAGTGTATATTTTAAGTTGCAAACGACAAATATTATTATTTAATAACAATTTAAAATGCAAAGAAGATTCTTTCATAAAAAACTTTAGAAACAAATTCAGTTCAATATTGATCATTTCTTTAAAAAAATAACAAACCCATGATCATCAAAATTGTTAAATTGTTTCTTTTTTGTCTTAAAATGACTATGAAACTAACTTTTATCATATTATTAAGTATTGATGATAAACACTTCTATTGTTTATTTCTTATTTGTTTTCCAGATTTCATCTCATTCAGCTGAAATTTCTGATTATGAATATGTTTTATGTGATGACTATGACACAAATTCAGTTGATGATTTATCTGATTTATTTGATAGTCTTGATTTGGAGTATTTGCTTGAAGATGATAGTTTTTTTAAGAATGTAAAAGAGAAGTACCACAAAGCTGTCAATTTAATTAAAAATAAAGTCGAGTCAACAGTTACCAAAGGTGCAAACAAATTAGTTGACAAGGGAGACACAATCCAGAACAAGTTAGGCAATGTAAAGGAAAAACTTGAAAACCCGAAAAAAAAAGCTAAAAAAGTGAAAAAATATTCCTTATATGGAGGTTTAATCCCAACACCTTTATCACCTGGTTTTCTTGCTGTCTCGAGTACAGCTGGGGTTGTTGAGAAAGCTATCCAAAAAACACAGGATGGTGCTGATATTGGAATAAAAGCTACTCAAGTTGGTCAAGAAGGTTCAAAAGCATTTTTAGAAACAGAAGGAACATTTACTGACAAACTAAAAGCTGGGAAACAAGCCGCAATTGACCGTTACAATGAAATTAATGAAGAAAGTAAGGCACAAAAACTACTTGAAAAAGAAAAGAAGGATAAAAAAAGAAAAATGAAGTCATTAGATGGAAAGATGTATTCCAAATTGACTATGTTAAAAGGTGCCAAAAAACTTAAAAAAACTGATGATAATAAACAAACAAGTAATAATTCAAAGGGTGTTCAGGAAACCACAGCCGATACAGATAAAGATGAAAGTTCGAAATTGAACAATAAGGATAAAAAGGCCGGATTAAAAATATCAAAGAAGATTGGTAAAAGAACAAATAGAATTGCAAATGTTGTGAAATCTTTTTCAAATGACAACGCAACGACAATTGTGAAAAGGGGTGTTTCGAAAATTATGAAAAAAGCAAAAACTAAAGTAAACAACAAAATAAATGAGGCTTATAGAACAGTAAAAGGATTTGAAAATTCAGTAAGAGATGCGAAATATAAAATTTCAAAACTACCAAAGAAACTGAAAACTAAAGTCAGTCAATTGAAAGAAAAGAAAAAAGCATTTAAAGCATTAAGAAAGAGACATAAAAAAGAAAAGAAACCGTTATTGTCTTAATTAATCGGGTTTAATAAAAAAGTGGTTTTAAATGAGTTGAAATTTTTATGAAGTATAAATGTGTTAAATATTTTTTTGAAAAAAATTGTTCAGTCGATGAAAGAAGTCTAAATAAATATGCTTTATGTTATATATTGTTAAAAACTATTTTAAAAAGTTAAATTATTATTTTATCTTTATTAAACAATTTACAATAATATATAATATTATTAATTATAATTTATAGCTTTATTCTATATAATATATAATATAAACATAATTATAATAAACCATTACTTTGTATACTATACATTTTAATATTTTATAGTTTTGTTGTTAAATGTTGTTTTAAGTTGAAAAACGACCACTGCAAAAAGTTTTCATCTGTAAAAAAATGTTTTGGCGATTGTAAAATTTAACAATTCTTCGAATTTTACTAAAACTACTTTATTTTTGTCATAAAAACAAATAAATTAAACCCCTTTTCATTTTAAAATGCATTTTTGGGGAGAGATCCAATTTTCCATATTGCGTGATAGACCCAGTTTAAACTTTGATAATATTGTTATATTTTATTGAACTCCAGAATTATGTTTTTTCGTTATTTTTAATTCAAAAACAAGGAAATATAAAACTAATAAATAATATAAAATGAATCTAACAAATAATAAATATAAATGAAAAAACTAGATGTTTATTCAATTCAGATAGTTTCTTATTATTTGACTTCTTTTGATGATTTTATCAACATTATTAGTGTTTGCAAAAAGTTTACAAATATATTAGAACGATTTCGTATAAATCCAATCCAAATAACACCACACCATAAACACCTTTTTCCAAATATCCAAACCCAAAATTTATATTCCAAGTATGACCAACGTCTCAAAAACATCAAAAAATTCAATTATTTATACCCTGTTACATACACACAATATATTAGAGAAAAGAGTTTGTATAACAAATGTTTTAAAGTCAAATACACAAACAGAGACCGCTTCATATATGGCAATGTCATTCCAGACAACGTATATTGTTTAAATCAAAATTGTTTTGAATCATATACAGATACCATTTTAAATATTCCAAACAACATTTTATCAATACTAAACAGAGCTTTTGCAAAATCAAATTTGAAAGAAATTGTTCTTCCTAATAGTGTTGTGTATATCGGTGAACAATTATTTGCAGATTGTTTTAATTTGACTCGTGTTGCTCTTTCAACTTCTCTTAAAATCCTTCCATCACAAACTTTTTTCAGATGTTCAAATCTCAAAGAAATAGAACTCCCAAATTCCATGATTTACATTGGACCAAATAGTTTTCAGGAGTGTGGAATTATATCATTTATGGTGACTCCAAAGTACATTCTTTCGCCTTCCGTGTTTAATTTGTGTTATTTAAAATCAATAGAATTTGTTGGTCAAGTTTATATACCGGAGTATCTGTGTTATAATTGCCACTTTTTGGAAACAATTAAAATGGATAATACAGTACAAATTATAGAGCAATTTGCCTTTGGATTGTGTAATATTCTGAGCACTATAACTTTATCAACTCATTTAGAAATCATTCAAATGTTCGCTTTTGAAAATTGCACATCTCTGAGTCATTTGGAAATGCCAAATTCTTTAAAAATAGTTGAAGGATTTGCCTTTGTTGGATGTGAAAATTTGGAGGAACTACTTTTTACTGAAGAAGTGAAGTTTACTGGATGTGGCGTGTTTAATAGATGCAACAAATTAAGTAAATTGAAACTCCCAAATTTTAATAAAAAATTGTTGTTTCAAATAACAAACGAAGAAAAAGAAATTATGAAGAATAATGGGTATGAGCCCATGGACGTTTTTTATGAAATTGAAGATTACTATGATGAAGATTCTGATGATTCCAATAATGAAAATATAAAAACAAATAGAAATGAAATTAACACACGGAGTTGTTGTGATTACAACGAATTGTCAATGTATAACATCGAAAAATGCAACGTCCTCGATTGTAAGGAAATAGAACGAGTAACAGGGAGAATGTTTTATTTACACGAAAACGAGTTGGAGACCATTTTCCTGCCATCCACAATCGTCGACTTTGATTTGAAGTTTGTGTGCAATACAACAAAAACACCTTTTGAACTTCCAGAAAATTGCAGCATATATTTTAAAGAGGATTTTATGTTTGGTGCGTCAAAAAAATTTGTGGTACCATCGACTGTCACAAGAATTAATAAAAACGCATTTAAAATAAACAATATGACAAAATTTGAAGTCCCAAAAAGTGTATTAGAAATAAGTGATAACGCATTTTCATCATCTTTCAATTTGAAAGAACTCGTCATCCCAAAAAGTGTCACAAAAATTGGTCCAAATTTTATAAGGGGGTGCACAACACTCACCAAACTGTCATTTGAAAATAATACAGTTTTCGACTTAGAAAATTTGATTAAAAATAATGATCCAATTGTTGAATTAATTCAAAATATTAATATAACTCGATTGGAAATTCCTGAAGGAGTTGTTTCTATACAAAAAGACTATTTTTCAGAACTCAAAAATTTGAGAGAAATTTCATTTCCAAAAAGTTTGAAAATTGTTTGTAAAAATTTGTTCGAGAACAACAAACAATTGACTTCGATTGAAACTAATGGTGTTGATCACAACAAATTTATTGTGAGTTATAATTGTCACTTAAGATTAAAAGCTTTTGGACTCGACTTTAATAACGTCGACTTAACAAATAATGATTTAGCTCAAATGTATACCAAACAAAACTATATGAAATACATAGACCAAATATATCAAAAGGATTGTATTAAATATGAAAAAATAATTGACATGATCAATGAAACACAATTTAACAATTTTGTGACACAAAATGATACGAGTTCATTTTTTCATTGTTACTGTGAAGTAATTAATATACGAGATAATACTAGTCTTCATGATAATATGTTTCATAATTGTGTAACATTGACACAAATTATATTAAACACAAATTTGACAAAACTTCCAAAGAAATGTTTTGTGTCATGTGTAAGTTTAAAAACAATAGAAATACCCAAGAATGTCACTAAAATAGGTATTCATTGTTTTGAAAATTGTGTTTCATTAACATCACTATCATGTAAAAATGACATTCTCTTGTGTGAAAAATGCTTTAGTATGTGTCACAGTTTAGTCAAAATTCCACAAACAAAGTATATGAAAAATGGAGTGTTTTCTATGTGTGCATCTCTCTCTCAAATAACATTGTGTGAAGGAATTAAATATATCCCTTGTTGTGCATTTCTACGGTGTTACAGACTGAATGAAATAAAAGTCCCACAATCAGTCACACACATTGGAAAATTTGCGTTCAAAAATTGCATTTCCTTATCTTCTTTGAATTCGAAAAACGTGAAAATAATAGATGACGGGGTATTCATGAATTGTGAAAATTTGAAAAACTTGAGTCTTCAGCAAAAAGACGTTAAAATAGTGTTTGATGTCTTTTCAAAATGCACGTCGTTAATTGAAATTTGTATTGGAAATAATAAAATTACAAATTGTCAATTTGAAGTGAGTTATACAACAAGTCGGCATTTTGAAGAAACAATGGGAGTTGCATGTGAAAATGTTGTTTTGACAAGAAGAGATGTTGATCTGTTTGGTCTTGAAATTATTAATAAAATATGTGTAAAGCGAATTGATGAGGGATGCTTTTTTAATAACAATGATTTGATTAAAATAGAATTTCCATCACATGTGACTTCAATTGGATATTATTGTTGTTATGCTTGTACAAATTTGAAAGAAGTGATACTTCCAAATACAATCACTGAACTGCCAGCATACACATTTGGTTTGTGCGTGTCTCTGTCTTCAATCAAAATTCCCCAAAGTGTTACAAAAATTGGTGTTAATTGTTTTTTAAACAATATAATACTAAATTGACAATTTATTGATGTTTTTTAATACAACACTTTGATATTTTAATATAATCAATCTAAAGAAAAGGACATTAAAAATGTTAAGTTGTGTAATGCTTTTGTGTGTTTCATAACTTGAGGGTTTACTGTAATGGCTTATATTTATTTAATCATATTAGTAAAAAATGTATGTTTTTTGACTATCTACCATATTTTTTAAATCTGTTGTTAATAACTAAAAAATTATATTCGTTTTTAATAAACAAAGATGTAATACAAAAATAACAATTAAAACTTTTATTTTTTAATATAAAAATTGATTTCTAAAAGTTGTTAATGATATTTTATAATTTTGTTTATGAATTAAACATGATTTATGTTTGGTTATGATCAATTGTTTTTTTACAAAGATAAAATATAAAATAAATTTTGTACAAAATAAAATTATTTCTTGGAATTTATTTTTATTATTCACAAAAATATAAATATAAAATAGGTACAATAGAAAACCTACCCGTTACAATGTTTGTATGTCTGAATTAATGCTCTTGTTTATCTCCCCATCATTGGAATAGTCTTGAAGCAACTGGACTGCATTTTTGTATTCTGGTTGATCCACTTGTCAGTACAACATCTTCAATACTTACTTTGTTTAACTAGATATTTTCCTATACCTTATCATTTTGCTGTATTGTTGATTTGAAATGTTGATTGATATAAAGGAAATCATTAAAATCAAATATAAAAATTGTTCAGTTATCAAACTCAATGTTTGTTGTTACTACAGATGGTAGTATTGATTATTTTTTATTTCCATATTGTTCGCAGTTTTTTTCACACCATATGCATTATTTGAGATGTTATCTTTGTATATTTTTTGAACTCTCCAATAAAACGGTTGAACATTCTGTTTTTGAAGTTTTGTTTTTTTTGAATATTTAATTATTAATCTTTATTTTTGTTTTTGAAAAAAACAAATAATGATTCAATTAACACTTTCACAACCCAAAACTTTTTTAAGAAGAAAAATTAGTAAAAAAGAAATTGTCCAAATCATTTTTTATTATTTTTTATTCCAAAACCCCTTTCTAACCCAAACCGGCCAATAGTCAGTTTTATTTTACTTAAAATAATTAACAAATGAGAACTCAATTACCTAAGATTGATCAAAAATAATCTTTTTGAATGAAATTTCATATCGCTTTATCGTGTTTCAACATTTAATATAAAAAACGCTACATCGTCAATCCACTTAATGACAAACAATATCAAATAGTCACATTAATAAATATAACTACTTTAAAAACACAATTTACGTTATAACCAAATGATAATATACTCTTTATAAAAAAACAACCAAATATATCAAACCATCATTAGACTTCATCTTTCTTTTTTTAAGCTTTGCTCTTGTTTTACACAAACAAACTCATTCATGTTTATTTGTGTGACTGTAAAATATACAATTCGAATTTGAGTTGATACAAAAACAAATAAAAATTTTCAAAAATTTGTTTTGTGTATGAAGGCAAAAAAAGGGTTTAGGTAAAAGAAAAAAATAAAAACTTATTATTATTACGTTTTTGTTTTGAACGTGTTAAATAGGTTTCATTTTCAAAAGGTAAAATTAATTATTTATAAATATATACAGTTATATGTTTTTGTAACTGACAAATGGTAATTAATTAAACAAAAAACAATAGTTTCAAACACAAATTCTGGCTAATTTGTCGAAATAAAGTTTGCTAGTCACCAGTCAAATTATATTTGCAGCCGTGCTAATAATAGGTTTTATTTTTTTGTGTATACTACTTATAAAAGGTTTTATTATTAATTTCATTTTTAATTGGGAATTAAAATCATTTAAATAACATTTATGAATTATAAAATATAAAAATAACAAACTTTATTAACAAACAATGGAAAAAGAGTTAACAGCACTCTCGACACTGTGCACAAATGCAGCGAAGGCGGTGTCATACTTTCACAAATCAAAAACAGAATACAATTTTGTTGACAACAAGTCACTTGATATCACACAACGCATTGAAAATGCAGAGGGACATTTTGATAGACTTGATGAGATATTTGAGAGAAAGAAGAACATCAGGACTTCACTCAACACAATTGTCACTGATTTGGATAACGCATCAAACAAAATTTTTAGTGAGTTGGTTTCATTTTCGACACAAAATGACAACGAGAAGTTGTATGAGATATACAACACTATAATTACACTTCTTGAAGAAAAATGCAAATTTGACTCAAAACCGTTCGAAGACCAAATCAACACAATTGTTCAATCAAAGAATAAAAGAGTCGATGAAATAATTAAATCGAAAAAATACATCAATGCAAAAAAAACAACACGACATTTATGAAAAACAACAACAAGTAGAAAATGAAAGAATAAAACGTGAACATCTCACACTTGAAGAGAAAGCATGTATTGAGAGAATTACAGGAAGGAAAATTAAGAGTGTTCTGGGTTGTATAGAAGATAACGACTGGTCAAACCCTGAGACACAGATTGATTCAAAAATTATCAACAAAAACAACATATGTCTTATAATTGAAGACACAAATCACAATAAGTTTGGTGGCGTGTACACTGAAAAAATTAGTTTAGATAACGATATTAATAATTTTTCAAATGGATTTGTATTGGTGGAAAATGGTATTTTGAATCCAATAAAAATGATAACAGATGAATTTCAATTTAAGTTCAACAACGAAAGTAACAGCATGATTACTAACTCTTTTGATTTTTATTGGTCGTATGTTGACGCTGATTATACGCCAAAGAATTATTTCTTTTTAGAACTTAAATGATATGTCCATCGTCATGTTTTGTTATAATTTCTAATTTTTACAACTTGTTGATTATATTTGCGTAATTAAATTACGACATAATTATATTTTAAATAAATATACTCTCCATTTTTATAAAATCCATGTTATCACGTATTATATTGAGTCGTTTTTAAAACCATTCATCTTTGACCTGTCAGAGCAATTTTGTTTATAATAAAATTTTAATAAAAAATATATGTTTTTTAGAAACAAAACAAATAAACACAAACAAATAATTAATATGATGCATATTTAAGTGTTAGTGTAAATATGCTTATTGTATATTTGTTTATAGTATAATTATAATGAAACAATTATATATATTTCAATATAACAAAACATGAAAACGCACACAAAATTATTTATAACTAATACTCTGATTAAAATGAAATAACCAGCCAGGCGTGCTCATCTAAATCTTTGAGGGAGATACATCTATGAAATCACACTACAACCTTCTTAGCAAGTTTAAGTAGAGTGGCAACACACCCACATGATGTGATGTCCCTACAAATTGACGTCACATTCAACATTGATGCAAATGGAATTCTGAATGTCTCTGCTAAAGACAAGACAACAGAAAAGAAGAACAAGATCACAATTACAATCACAAACGACAAGAAAATACTCTCAAAGGAGCATATAGACAAGATGGTTGCAGACGCAGAAAAGTTCAAGGTGGAGGACGACAAGATTAAGAAACTTGCCGAGGCGAAGAATGGACTTGAGAACTTCTATTACTCGATGAAAAACACACTCAACACACAAATTGCAGCAAAGCCCCCACCAGACGACAAGGCGGCAATTGAAGCAACCATCAAGGAGACACTCGACTGGCTCGACTAAATTTATTAATATTAAAGGATCCTTTCATGTTTTTTATTTATAGCTTTTACAACTTCAAATGTAGAACTTTTGTAAGTAAGTTTTCAATGTTTTTTTTGCTTCGAGCATTTCGATATTACAATTGATACAATTAATCGACATTACCCATCACCATTTTCTTACATGTCACTCCAATGATTGTTGCATTTCAACATTTTTCAATAAAACAACCACATCTATATTTGTAAATGTAAAATCAATTATTTTGATACTGAAAATTTGATTGGTTTACATTCCTTTATTTGAATATATCCCGATATATTTCGTATTTTAACGTTTAAAATATTTCTAGAAATAACAAGACTATAAAACAGGGCATTAGTTAAAGTAATTTCTTTAATTAAATCTAAACTATTAAGATTTATTGTCTTTGGCACTTCGTTTACTTTCCAATTTACTCATTGGGTTTGTAGTTGACTAAATTATTAATTTTTGGCACACAAATAGTTAAATTGCCAATTTGATGACGTCAGCAATTTATTGAGAACTTGTTGTTGAGTCCGAAATGACGCAAATCGGGTAATAATGACGACCACCAAACATCTTATTGTTGTTACAAGATTATGGGATGTAGTTTCAACATTCTGTTTTTTTAGAAATGTACTGTACAAAAATTTGGACATTTAGAAGACAACTCTAAAAATTTCAAATTTTTGTTGTTGGAATAAAAACATTGAAAAGTCCATAACAAACATGTAAGTAATCTTATCGTCCTTTTTAAAGTCGAATTCATTAAACCGTGAAACTGTATCACTACTACCGTGAAATATACACCTTCTTAAGTGTATTCAAACTCACCACTTTTAGCATTGTACTTTTTTAAAAACTGAACCAGAAGTGTTCTGACTTTTGGAGGAAAACATTTTGTCTTTAATGTGTTAATTAATGTTTTAGGATTTGTCTTGGTTTCCACTTCTATAAGTGTAATATCATCACTCGAAAAATATTCAGGTTATTTAAAAAAGATGAAAAATATAGAGTTTGCAAGTTGGGGAGATAAAATAAAATGTTTTTAATGGAAGATGTCATAGAAGCTTTCTATGTGTTAATATACATTGTCTGGACAGCTTTTTAAAATGATCTGTTGATTGACATTAAGTTAAAAACATCTTTCATTGTTCCTAAAGAAAGAATAATATCATTCTTAAATACTTGCTCAAGATGTATCTTCGTTTTTATTTGGGATGAAGTAAAATGGTGAAATAATTTTACTGAAAATTTATGTTTTAGTAAATTATTTTGTGAAATCATTTCACCAAATAGTACTATTTAAATACTCGAATTTTGGTTATGTTTACAATAATTATTTTGGAAACTCCTGATTATTAGATAATTCATTTTTTATGATAATATATATTATCGTTAGTATAATTTTAATTTAAATTAAATTCTCAAAAAAAATAAAAAAACTTCAATTTTTAATTTATATTATGAATTATTAATTTAAAATAATAAATGAAAACATCATTTATATGTTTTTTACTTTTTTGATTTCAATAACTCGTTCTTTAGATTCAATTGGCACGTTAAAACGTTCCAAATTTTTTACTTCAGTAAAAACCACGTTCAACTGAGCAAGAAGAGACACTTTTAATAATTATTACATTAACAGTTCTATTGAAATATGAATATTTAAACCTTTCTTCATTTGGCATAATATCCATAATAGTTTGAAGTATAAGATTAAATAAAACATTTTTAGTTGATTTCTTCAATTGCTTTGCCGAGTTCTTTTCTCACTTCTTGTTTTTTAATAATGTAATCACAATTTTCTTTTTGTTCATGTGTCAGTTTTGATTTGTCTGTGTCTTCTTCTGCATCATTTGATATGACAGATTCTTAAGACATTTCGCCTGAAAAAACAATTTTGATCGTACTCTTTTGACATTTTTTTCAAGAAGTAAATTACAAATAATTTTTCTTTTCCAGACTTTTCTTTTTTGTTTATTACAACAAAATAGTTTTCTTTCCATTTTTGCAATAATCTGATCTCCGTTCTAAGCTTTTTATCAGATTCATCAGATAAACAAGTTTTGTTCATTTCATTAAAAACGTAAACATATTTATAAAAAGTGCATTTGTTAAATATTTTTGGATAGCACAAAAAACTCTTCTTTGATTCAATGTGAAGCTCTGCTTTTTGCAATTGATTATTATATAATCATCTGCAGTCAACTTTCTGTTAATATTCAAAAATCTTACGGACATCATTTTAATTAACTGTTTAAGAAATCAGTCAGCATAATACTTCAAATGAATAAGTACATCATCATTAATAGTATTGCAAATTATGATATTTTTGAAGAACTGGTCATTTAACTCCCCATTATTAAATATTTTCATTAGTGAAAGATCAAGTCTTTAACTAGTTGGTAAGCAATTGGAAATAATACTTCTGATGATTGCATCCAATCATCAACATACTTTATTTGGTTTAGGAAAAAGCTTGTAAAATACAGCATTGAAACGAATAAATTGTTATTCAGAAAACAGTTACCAAAAATGTTTTGTGGACCACTTACAATTCCGGTTTTAAGTTGCTCAATTTTTTTAATTCTGAAAAACACTCGAAGAGAGTATTTAATCGATCTGCCAAAAAGCCATCTGGTATTACTCAGCTTAACGATTTCGATGACAGCCCTAGATGTACCTCGTTTATTACAATATATTCCAAGCTTTCTGAGTTTTTGAAGATGTTAAATTCATTAAATAGTCTTTTATTTGACTTTTATTATCAATATCAAAAGTCTTTTCTGAAGCTTTATTAATTCGATAGCAAAAGCAATAAATGAAATCAAATTCTTTGTTGTTTTTTCTAACTTTTTCTATCTCAGTCAAGATCAAACCAGAAAGACCACTCTTTTCACTTTTCACAACATTGGCTCCATCAACAGTTATTCCGTAACACTTTCTAAGGTCAATTTTATTATCCTTAAATTTATTTTTCATCCAAGTGACCTATCCTTCATCGTCTGTCGTTTTTGTAATAATTTATTTTGATTCTTCTTTTGATTGTTTTACCTTCTCTATTTTTAACCCTTACAAAAGTGAGAAGTACTCATTTCCATCATAACAAGCCGAATCAGCAATTAACAAGTATAAACCACACTCTGTCAATATTATTTTTAATTTAAACATTTGATTTTTTGATATAATTCTACTTATCTTTAATAAACTGTTATCACTCAGAACATTTTTAAGTCAGTGTTTTCGTCGACTCCTGCAACTTCAAGGATCATTCTTATAAGTTTACAGACGTCCCGCATTTGAGGAATTGTGAGTCTGGAACCATCCATAAATAACGAAGACAGTATAGTGGAGTATAAACTTCTTTCTGGAGCAACATCTCTAGTTTGTGTAAAAGTAATCACACTCTTACCACTATTTGTTTGAACTCTTTCTACAATTTTTGCTCCAATTTTTCTGGCGGCATTTTTGTTGGCGGTCAGTATTTGTTTGATATCATCAAACTGCAACAACACTTCCAACTCTTGTTTGGTGAAAGTCATTTCAAACAATTCAGCAGCCCGTTCTATGATCTCTTTCATTGACATTTGGTTAGTTCTTGGAGTTTCAATTTTTATTTCTATAACTGAATTGAGGTCTTCCTTCATTTGTTAAATTTCACCATGGATTGGTTCTTCGACTTAGTTGTGCTGTAACTGATTTTTGACATCAACAAGGTTGATAACATGAGTGGTTGTTAATAATCCTTCTCCAGTGAGTGTTAATTTTTCTTCGGATAATTGCGGCAACAGTCTAAGTCGTAAGTTTTTCAAGTTCTTGGGCTCTGGATTCTTCATTTATTACAACATCTTTGGTATTCATGCACATTTCCTTTGCAACAATATTAAAATCATCCCGATGTGCTTTAAAGAACTCGTAGTCTTCAATGGGAATAATGTCTAGCATTCTTTTGTGTTTTATTGTATCTTTGTGTTTCTTAAAGTTGTTTTTGTTCATGCACTAATTGCAGAGGGGACAATATTGCATCATGTTTAACTGCTTTTTACTAATGTCTTCATTGAAATAAGATCTATATGTATGATTAGTAAAAAAACTCAGGCATACGTTTCTGTGTTTTCCATATATGCTTCATGTTGTTGATTTTTAGATAAACCGTTTTATTAAATACTGATTAACCAACATTCAATTAATAATTATGACGACACCAATCATCATGTGTGTTGTTTTGACAGAAATCAAGTTAATGATTATAGTGAGGCAAGAAATCCACACCTGGAGAGAAACCCGCACCCATTTTCCTTTTTCTTCTTTGAAAAGCTGTTGAATGAAAAGTTCAATCTTTGTTTTTTGGTTTATTAAGAATATTCTTTTAATCAAAATACAAGATAAAATTTTTTTTATATTAACTTCATGAAATTAACCTTAAATAAATATACAGTCAAAGTCGCTTATTTGTAGGTTTTCGTATTTGTAGGTTTTGCTTATTTGTGGGTTAACTGACCAATCAAAATCGAAACATACAAATAGGTTGTATCTTCTCGAAACTGAATAATTAATTGAAATCAATTAAAATAACTATATTTTTGAGTGAATATGAAACAAAATCTAATATGGAATAAGACTTCTTTTGTATTTTTTAACTTATTTAATCTAATTATTTTAAGTTTTTGTTAAAATGGTTTCAATATTTAATAATTGTTTATATTTTATTTAAAAAATACTATAATTAATAATATTTTTTGATTGATAATATAAATGTGGTACTTAGGTTTCGACTAATAATTAATAATTATTATACCATTGTATAAATTATTTATAAGAGTTATATTTGGAAGTTTTTTTGAAATAATTAAAAACCTTATTCATTATTATTCAAACAGTATTCAAATAATAAAACGAAACCTTAGTATTCGTCGAAACTTTAGTCTCATACCTGTAATCAAAAAATCAGTCTTAAAACGGTAATAGTAAATTTTTGGATTGTTAAAACTGGAAAATTACGGGAAACTGTTGAAAAATCTCCAAAAACACTATTATTTAATTTTATTTAGTTTTCGACTTTTTTCTAATTCCTATTTTTTAAGGCTTATTTTGTGTAAATTTTTGTTTAGTGAACAACATATTACAAGCAGACTTTATTAAGAGACTAAAAACTAAAATTATGGTAATTAATTTTTTATAATCAAAATAAATCAAAGAATATTCTTCCCAATTCTTAGCAAAACCTACAAATAGACAGCTTTTTATGCAAGAAAACCCACAAATAAGCGACTTTGACTGTAGTTAAAAATTACATGCAAATTGAAAAGACACAAGTCTATTTAAAGAAGACATAACAATCTGCCGGAGACGGTGAATTGAGAGTTGAAGGATTAGAATGGCTTGAGATGATGAAATCACACCCAGAGTTTAAACCTTTGAGAAGAACGTCCAAATGGCCGAACAAAAGAAGGTCAAGACTATGAAAGACTATAAGGCCGCTTCAGAAGAGTTGATGAGAACAAAGACGGGACTTGACGAGAAACAAGACGAGTGTGACAAAGTTGAAGATTTCATGTCTGAAATGAAAACTTGGTTGTAAGCTCTCGAAAAAGCTATTAAGACTTTCAAACAGTCGAAGAACACTTATGAAAAGAAATTGACTGAGTTGAATGAGCAACTTGATTTTGAAAGAACTAATGCTAAACAGACTAAAACCCAGAAAAAGAAATCCGCTGAGTAGCTAGAGAAGTGATGGAGAAATAAAAAGAATTTGGTGAATATAAGGAACAAGCTGAGAAATCTATCAACTCGTTGATTGCTCAAAAAGCTGATCTACAGAAGGAACTTGAAAAGGAGAGAGCAGTGAAACAACAAGCTAAGAGAAATTTAAAGACTTCAATTTAAAGTTATCGATTTGAAATCTAAATTGGCGGACGCTGGTGCGACTGGAGCTTTAATCGCTAAATCGAAAGCGAAATATGAAACAGAATTGGAAGTAATTAAACCAGAGAAGGAAAAAACACAAAACGCCGCTGCTTAAGGTCGAGAAGAAAACCAAACAATACACCAGAGAGGTTGAAGAGGCCGAGAGAAAGCTTGTAGAATTCGAACAGAAGGAAGCTACTTTTAACACTCAAATAGGTAAGACACAAGCCGATTTGAAGAAGACACAACAATCAGTCAGAGACAATGAATTAAGAATTGCAGATAGTCTTGAGAATGTCTGAACAATAAATAGCTTTACGTTGGTCAAGTAAGTGCTTAAAAAACTTTGAAATGAAGTGAAACACAAAAAACGAGGATTATTAATTTTTTTTCATTATTATAGTTTTTTATATTAAAATCTGGTTAAAATACATAAGTCTTGTTATTTGTAAAATATAGTATTTTAATTATATTTTAATGGTTTGATTATGACTAGATGCCTCAAGTCTATTTAAGATAGACTCCAAGTTAGAGTCTAAGTTAAAGTCTATTGGTAGACTCTAAAAATTTCACAAAGAAAAGCTTCAAGAAAACAATTTCATATTTAGCGATGGATCTTACCGATGACACGAAAAAGGTGATGTTCTATTTTTAATAAAGAACTAGGGTTTCTATACAAAATCGAAACAAATCAATAACTTCAATTTATATTTTATCATCAGAACTTAAAAAACATATAGAGTAGCAAGAAGAAAGGAAAGAAAGCGGAGAAAGCGGAGAAAAGAAGCGGCATTGTTTTAAGCGAGAAAAATAATAAGCTTCGTTATAAATTATTAAAATTTGTATTTTGTTTACTAAGCATATTTTCGAATAATCTAAAAATAGATTCTTGGTTCATATTTTTGTTTCAATTCGAAATTGAACTAACAAGTAGTACCCCTTATTTCTTGTTTTCCATCTTGTCATGCATCTTCTAATTATGAATTGATGTTATTGTTATTATGTTTGATGTATTACAATTAATTAGTGCCCGACTTTTAGTAATTTTTTTATAATTAATTAATTATTAAATATTAGTTTTTAATTATGATCTTATTATTGTTTTCGTCAAATAGTTTATTTTTGTAATATTATTATAGGTATTATATAGTTTTTTGTTTTACTTACGAAGGTTTTGATATAGTTGTTTTATAATATTTTTATAGTTGTTGTATAGTGTTTAAAATTGTATGGTAATAGTTTAAGTGTGTTTGGTTGTAGATTCGTTTATTAATCATGTTTCAGAGCGATTTCCCTGTTTGTTCTATATTTAACCATTGTTTTTCTTGTTATTGTTTGAGTCGGCAACTATTTCTATGTTTTAATGATTTTTTTGGAAATATTGCATCGAAAGCGATTTATGTTTCATGGTATCTTGTTTATTTTTTGTGTGTTGTTTATATTGTTTGTTTGAGTAATTGGTACTAAACACGCCATTTTGTTTGCTGTTTTGAAAGATAAATTATCTATTTTATTATTTATAAATTTGTACGAAAGCTATATTTGTATTCATTTTGTTAACTTGTGTACCTTTGAAACCGTTGAAGTTTTCAAAATGTGCTCCACCCGTTTTATTTGGATTTTTTAAGACCATTTGTTAACTTTTTCCCTAATTTGATATTTGGAAGGGGTAATCAATTCATCCTAAAATTCATAAAATCACAATAAAACCAACCTAATAATCGACGACAGGACAAAATAATGTTGGTAATAATAACAATTCAACAAAAGTTCATTTGAATTCAACAATTAATTAAATACACACTTTTCAAAAAAAAACAATTTTTTAAATTTATTTTTATAAATAATTATCAATTAATAGAACTCAATTCAATATCAATTTTGTAGTTTTTAGGTCAATTTCCCGATAAAATATAACATTAAAACCATATTAAAAATGCATTTGGTAGTGATAAACTAAATTAATACAACAGAAATAAACATCTTGTTTTAACAAGTTTTAATACCGTACTCAGCTAATTTTAAGTTGAAGATGTTCTTAAACCGATTTTATTATTTAGGAATTTGGATGAAAATGTTACTTTCAGATCAACCAAACACTGCTTATTAAACAAATCACATAATATGCTTTAACCAAAAATCGCAATAAATTACGAACTTATAAAAATTCACTCATTTTTAAATAAAAAACGATTAATAATTAGTAATAAATTTGTATAATTATTTTTAACTATTTGTAATCATAATAATTTAATTTAATTTATTATAAACCCAATTAAATGTTATTATTAAAATTATCATTTCTTTGGTTATAATTCTTTGCGTTTTCGGCCAATCTTTTCCTTTCAATTTGAATATCATGAATCGTTTTTCTTTTTTTAGTAATTGTTTTCTTAACAGCAATAATAGTATTTTTACATGAGGTGTTATTTTTTGTTGTATTCTCAACTTCTTCTTCAATTTGCATTGGAGTTACGATTTCCATCGAACAGTCATCACTTAACAAATATATTGTATTACATTCTTTATAAATTTCATCCTAATCAACATAAAAATGCCATATATGTTCAAATCTAAAGTCAAATCACATTTCTTTACATCAATAGATTCGTCTTTTTTCTTTGGAATCCACGCACCCGCTTCATCTTCGTTGTGCAATTCCACGTTTTCGAAGTTGTTC